GAACAATGTTAGATCACAAAAACAAATACCCTGATATTGGAGAAGAAAATACCAGATTATCCAGTGTATTTTAGAAACAATGAGATTTGGTGTATTTTTAAGAATTTGGCTTTAGATATTATGTGAACAAAGCTTTATTTTTATTCCCTAGGTTATGTCCAAGAAAATCAACAGCCTTTACAGAAACAAAATTTTTGGATCCATTGTGGCTTACTTTTCTTACTATGTAGAGATTATCATAAAATTAAAACTGTGTGAGGAATGGAAAAAAGTCACTTTTACTAATTGTGTTTGCATAATTTTAAATTTATTTATGAGCTATTTGGATAGCTGGTATAACTGATAATGTTTCTGACATAGGTATTCTTATGCAATAGTTGGAATCAATCTTACAGAGATGGCTTATAGCTTACTGAAGAGTGAAGCCTTGAAGTTTCATCTCTACAACTTTGTTCCTGGTGTACCCAAAATGGAACACTTTCATCAGTTTTATTGTGAGTATTAAAATGAGCTAAAACTAGGTCTTTCTAAGAGAATTTTTAAGCCATTAGACCATTAGGAAGGCATAACACATATTTTAATCTAGTACCTTTATCAGGTATATAACTTATGCTTATCATTATTATTCAGGATCTTTGAAAAACAGGAAAATAATGAAATATGGATCCCCAAGAGTATTTTGTACTTCAGTTTGTATATATGCTGATAAAAAAATTTAATGGGGCAGTTTTACACAAGAGTGCACATTTTGGATTCATATAGTTTTTCTGTAGGCATTCATTTCTCAGTCAACTATAGAATAAATTTTCCCCTTGGAATACTGGTTGATGAATGCTTTTAAGTCAGGACAGACCATGTGCAGATCATTTTGTTTCTCTTGTAAGGAAATTTAATTTTTACCCCTTATTTCAAGGCCAGGTTTTCTTGTGGTAGGTTGGAGGTATTTAACTGTTCCAGGAGCAGTTATGTTGTTATTACAACTGTTCCCTTAACTTTTACTGTGATATTTGAACACTGAAGGTTTAATTGAATGAATCTGTCCTCTGAAGCTATTACTCAGAAGCAAAGAATTCAAATCTACCTTGGCTTCAAACTCTACTTTTCTTGATCTCTTTGTGTCTGTATGAATGTCATTTTCATGCTGGTAGGATTTAGGAAACTGCTTAGATAACAAATGGCCAAATCATAGCTTTGTCACTGTTGCTGAAGGTGCCATCCATACCTCTTTTTCCCACAGCTTTCCAACCTTTACTTAATCACTAATTCTAGTTTTGTTTACATCCTAAATTTCTCTTGTGTTTGTCTGCTTCTTTTTATCCCTACTGTAACTGCACATCAGGCCTTTCTTACTGTCTTTCAGATAGCAGTTTAGACGTGACTTTCTTGGGAACTCTTATCGGAGACCTTTTTCCTTCAGTTATCCATTTCTCTTGCTATTATTAATCTTCTGTTCTCTATTGGACTGTTACTATCAGACTACAGGCCTGCCTCTGTATCTCCCATTCATTCTTGCTGTGTGCCAGGTGCTGTTCTTGGCATGGGAGATATAGTGGAGAATAAGGCGATGTCCGCATGCTGAGAAAAGCACCTGGCACGCAGCAAGTGAAAGAATGAATGGGAGATTCAGAGGCAGGTCTATCGTCTGATAGGAGAAGCTTTTTTTTT